GCTTTCTCTGTATACAATACTTTAAAGAACCATGCAGTGAAAGAAAGTTTTTTGCAACTACCTTTCAAACAGCACATCCTCCAAGGCAGTAAAAAGATTCTCAGCATGCTTGTCTATTACCTAGAGTTTGAAGATTTGTATAAAAAACACTATTTATTAGTCAAAATAATGTATTTTTGTGCTGTGATCTATGAAATACAAGTTTCAAATTATGGGGTGTGTCTCCAAGCAAACATAATGCAAGATAGGGTACAGAATCTATAAATTGATGTGAAGACAACTAGCTAGCACTCTTGCTTGTCCAGGCATCCCTTCATTATCATCACCTTTGTCTCAAGTACATTTTACATTTTAATCCAAGGTTTTCAATAAGACTTTATTTAGGTGGCAAAAGCTTTGGAGTAGGTGCAGAAGGAAAAAAGTTGCGGCAAAGGCCAACTTATGAGTGCCAAAGGTGCAAGTTTCTGGAAAAATTTTGAAATCTGGGCCTCTTAGAATACATTTCCAGCATTCTGGAGCAAAAATCAGAGTGTTTGAACAGAACACAGACATTAAAATTTGGCTTTTTTATTCAGGAGGCGAGTTCATGTGAAATACCCTGCAAATTTTGCCGGCCACCGGCTCTTATTGAAAACCCTGTACTCAATTTAAAAATTCAAAAAGATACTGAGTTCAGCAAGACGTAAATAGATGCAAGAGACACAAAAAGAGCTGTACACTAAACTAATGGTTGATTAAGGTACAGCAAAGTTGTACTCTATCTAATAAAAATTGAAGGGAGCCCATTGCTCTGAACCTGGGAAATCCAGGGTGCCTAGCACATGCCTTCTATGAAAAAACTAAGATTTACTTGCCACCAAGGAGCAAAAGTTGGGCTCGAGGGTCGACCAGGCACTGCTTAAAGCCTTGTACAGGTACAGTGGTCCACTGTATTGCATTTCATAATATGTATTAAAGAAATAGGAGAGTTACAAGGAAAAATGACATCACTAAAACTGCATTATTTTGTTGACAGGCACTTAAAAAAATCAGTGTACCCCAATCCACTTTCAGATGCAAGCAGGATATTTTATACCAGGGAGGAGCTGGTAAATCTAATGTAAGATAAAGTGCCACATAAACAAAATACAATGCATATCTGATATTCTGCTTTATAATAATAATAATATTGACTACCTGGTGATTATCAGCATTGTTAAGAAATTCTTCAAGCTGTTGAACAGCAGTTAAACGACGTTCTCTTTCAGAATCTTTGGTGATCCTCTTTACAAGATGTGATAAACGAGAATCATCTCCAAACATATTATTTCGATCTAAAAGGCAAAAAATGTATCTTATAAAAAATATTGTACCCTCCAGGTATTGAAGCCAGTCCATTGCAGGTTTGCATGAACCCTGAGCATGCATGTATACCTAGCAAGTACATAGACGGATCAAAATACAAAATACTACCCATTTTGAATCTGAGGATTTACCATCAAGAAATTTAAGTGTGTGGTTAGCAAAAATGCCATAAACTGTCGCTTGCAAGCCCTGGGCTTACCGTATTTATTCGATTAAACACAGGGGCTTTGTTCCGGGGGGGGGGGGGGGGGGTTAAATTCTTGGAGAAAAAAATTTTTTAAAAACAAAACCTAGAACGTGGGGGAAAAAAACACTTTTTTCTTTTGTTGTTTTTTATGGGCCCTTTTCAAAACAATGGACACAGGGGAAAAACACCATGTGTAAGGGAGAGGGAGAAGAGGGTGAAGAAAAAAAAAAGGATAGAAAAAACACAAA